ATGGTTTTTATATTTCTCTAACACGCCCTTTCATACAAGAGCTTATTGGGTTCGAAGGGTGGAAGATGCATTAGGCCCGGCCCGCAGTAGCTATATGACTCAATTGAGGAAGAGTTATACACACTGCACTCTTTTTCTCTTTACCAAGTTTATATCCTAGTAGATTTTTTTAAAAAAAAAAGGTTTTTAATGAGACAATCTATATTAGTATATAAAAGGTGGTAGGTTAATCCTAAATATTATACTCTTTTCCCTTGGCTAAAGTTTTTTATCCCATGGATTTTTCTTAGCAAAGTTGTAACAAGGCATATCCATAGTTTATAGTCATTAAAGGGGAAATGTTATAAAATTATAGATGATTTGAATTTTGAATATGAATTTTGTAAACATTGACATTAGGGCTCGTTTGGTGGACAAGATAGGATAAGAACTGATAGGACAAGAGAGTTGGATAAGGATAGGATATGATATGGACAAGATAAGCACATATCATATCATGTGTTTGATGTTCACTGGATTAGCAATCTGATAGGATTATGCTATCATGTGTTAGTGGTGCACCAAATATCATCAGGATATGATATAAATAGACTAAAATACCCTTTTTAACAAAATATCATATAAATATTATAAATTAATTTTAAATTTTTTAAATTTATTTATACAATTCTGACAATTATAATTTTAGACAAAATATTTTAAATTAATTTTTTTATCCTCTATATTGTATGTACATGATTCAAAAATCATGATTCATTAACTACTAACTTTTGTATCATTCAAAAATCATGTTTCATTCAATTCAAAAAGGCATGACGATAATTGGTTCTTTGATTCGCTAAATAGAAACTTTGATATGCAGGTAAATACAACTTATAATTTGAGACTTAGATGAAGGAAGAATAAACAAAATATAATGCAACAAATAGAAACATAGATGTTTCAAATCGTTATAAGAAATACATAATACAAGTAAAATTAAAAAATACAAGTAAAATTGCAAATAAAGAACACTAAAATCAATTTATATGTCTATTAGTTAGCCATTCATTCCACATTTGTGTTGCTAACCACTGGTCACTAGCCTTAATTGTATTAATATAATCGCCATCATTGCGTGATACTTCTTCGTTGAGTATTTGTGTTTCCAATTCTACATCTAATTATGCTTCCATTTGGTCAATAGGCATTTCTCTTCTGATAAAATTGTGAAGAAGACAACAAGCAATTATTTTGCGATTTTGGATTTTGATGGGATAAAAAGATCGACTTCTAAGTATAGCCCAACGTATTTTTAACAGTCCAAATGTTCTCTCTATCACATTTCTTGCCATGGAATGTCTCATGTTGAAGAGTTCTTCCTTATATGTTGGTGTATACCCATGTCTCCACTCACTGCGATGTTATCGATAGCCTCTATATGGAGCAAGATATCCCTCACAATTTGTATATCCAGCATCCACAAGATAATAGTATCCTATAATAAAAAATAATAGTTATTTCAAATACATTATACTTTTATTATAAATATCACAATTTTTGTACCATATAACCAATTTTTACTTGTTGGAACTATTAAATCATTCCTCTTTGAAATAGCATCTCGCAATACCCTTGAATCTGATGTTGATCCTTCCCATCCAGGTAATACATATATAAACTTCATATCCCTAGAAAATACGCCTAAGACATTGGTAGATATATCTCCTTTTCTATTACGATATCAGGGTTTATCAATTGCTGTCACATTAACTTCAATACGAGTTCCATCTAGTGCCCCAAGACAATTCTAAAACATATCCAAAAATAAAATAAAAAGTAAAAAAAATAAATATAAAACACGATTAATAAAAATAGAATAGATGTAAAATAAAACATCATCTTAGCTTAAACCATTTCCACCTTTCATCTAAGCAATCTTATAGGACAGGATCTGGTGCTCTAAGAAGTGTTTCTTGCAACCGTAAAATAGCATTCAACACTAAATTAAAGTATCTACTAACTATTTCTCCAGATAGTCTAAACATAAATCTAATAACACGATTCTTGGAATGATGTGCCAATATATGTAAAAACATTGCCACCTGTTCTTCAACACTTACTAGTCCATCTTCTTTTAATCTACCATTATTTTTAAGGAAGACACATAATAAACGAAACGACCTAATATTCATGCGAAGTTGATCAACACAAGTTTGATCATCATGATTCATCAATCTATCCAGAAACTCTCCCCTAAGCCCTTCTCTAATAATTGATTGTTGCCTAAGATTATAATTTTCATGCCACCATAGCGCAAAATGACTCACTTCCAATAAAATTGTAATACAAACCCAAACCATATGGAAAAAAATTTGCTCCAAAATTAAATCTGATATAATGTCAAGATGCTCATCCGAGTCCATGTCAACCTGTGCATAGAAAAATAATGTTATCGAAAGCAGGATTTTTTTAAAACAGCAGCAACACATTCAATTACCATAATAATGAAATGATGTTGCTCTAAAATAATGTTCGGGGGTCGCAACCTACACATGATGGCTGCTCTAAAACACAGGGGTAAAACATATTTTTTACATACCAACATCATCTCTGTACATATATAAATACAACCATTTATATGTATTCTAGGTGGAAGCAAATAACAACAGATAAGTATTTAAGTCATTACAACCATTTCTCTGTAATAATTCAGCTTTATAGACACATAACCATTACATTTGTTCCATTATATGACAACAAGGCTTTAAAAACAATACTGAATTTAGTCCATTCACGATACAGCTTCAGCATATTCATTTCTAACAACAACTTATGGATTGTTACATTCATGAAGGCTTGAAGTCTGGCAAGCCTCAAGTTTTACTTCTTTCGCTTCATCGCGTGAATTTCGTTCACAGCCAAACTTAAATAACACTCCCTCTCCAAGTAGGTAGATATCGAGCTAGTCAATCAATGAAATTACTAAACACATATCGAAAGTGTTGAAATTCACAATAACCCCAAATCTCAAATTAGGATTTCACCAAGAGCCATATTTTTTCCTCTTCGAATTCAATAATAATCAACCAAAACAAAACATAATTTTTGAATAACACTAGAAAAGAAGCCTTAAATCCCCAAAAATTCAAAAGAAAAAAACACAAAATCCCTAATTTTGATTGCAACGAAAAAAGGGGTATTGATATAATTAGATAGAAGAGAAACGAACCTGATGATCAAATACTGTTGGTTATTCTTGCTATTGTGGTTCGCTAATAAAATTTGACAATAGCCACCATTTGTTGTGTTGTGGTTCTTCTTAATGCTTTTCTTTGACAACGATAGTGCTTTGCTGGGAAGGGCGGACCGTGGTGGGGTTGGCCAAACTAGTCGGTGGCAAGGTTATCGGGATCGGTCAGTGATGAAGGGGGCAAGGGAGAAAGTGACGATGAGGGTTAGGTTGGAATAAAATAAATTTATTTTTTGTATCCTATCCTATTGGAGTGTAACCCAAGCTTTCCCTTGAGATAAGTTATCAGGTTCTCAGTAGGATAAAATGAGCCAACCTGATAACTTTATCCTATCCTTCAAGCACACCAAACAATTGATTACAACATGATAGGATATACTATCATATCCTATCTTCCCTATCAGAAGCTCCAAACAGGCCCTAATGATGTAATTATCCTCATTTATTATTTTGTAATCACCACAATAATTGAGTATTAACTCTTCTATTTATGGTTGTAATTTTATATATACACTTTACTTGTATTAGAAAACGCTGTTGAATGACAATCATACCCTACCCCTTTGTTTATCTCTTCTTTCTTTCACTTTGTCTTGTCACACGTTTTTCTCTCATCTCTCCCCCCATATTTCATAATATAAAATTTATTATAAGGACCAAGCATTAAATCTCAAACCTTTGGATGCACTAAAATCATCATTTGCTTTTGTTACGAAAATGATAAATGTGTTCATCCATATAAGGCTTCACATCTTAAAAAAAATTTAGTGAATCTAACATATCGGGCCCAAAACTATTATTGGGTTTTGTGCACTTTCAAACTGACTTTGCCAATCAACTGGAATGTTGTAAAAGTTAAAGAGGTTTTAAATTTTAAATACAAGAAAATTATATTATTATCACAAATTAAAATATCATCCAATAACTGAAGCACTCAACCCTGAAAGTCTTGAAAGTTCAGTAGCAAATCCAAGACAATAAACATATTGGTTTATAGTATATATAGATTAACCAATGTCATTAGCAACAAGTGTATCTTATTTAATTTACTATTTTAAGTTATACATTTTTCTTTTCAAAAAAAAAAAAAGAATGCACGAATTTCATAATTAAATACTAGTTACTTGCATCTTAATATAAAAAAAAATATTTTTGCATTTATCGCAGAAGATTTTTCGTTATCATGCTTATATAAAAGTGAATATGTCCCATTATGAAGAAATAAAAATGAAAAAATTAATGGGATCTGTTATAGACCTGACACAAAGGCCCACATTCTAGAAGACTCAAAAAGGACTAACAAATAAGAGGAAAATTTGTAATAAAAAAAAACTAAGAGGAAAATTTGTATTAAAAAAAACTAAGACGAAAATTAAGGAAAGATTCCTTAATTGTACTAATTCTAGTATGACAGCAATGGATCAAGAACTTGACCCCCCCCCCCCCCAATATTACTAAGAGGCCCAGAAGTTGTAACATTCACGTCTCGAGCCGGTTCAATTAGCATACATATGATACTAAACAGAAACAGCGGAAGACTTAACTTACGAAAATACGAGTTAACTTTTTCTTTTTCTTTTATTCTTTTCACATGATATATTACATTGCATACTTCTCATTTGACGGAGACAAAAATCGGACAGAGTACCGTCTGTAATTCGGACAAATGAGGATTTACGAATCTCACTCTCAAGACATCCTGATAAACAGTTTATATAATCTATGATTATAAAACTATCAAATATCCATCACATGATACATACCCATCCATGGGTGCATGCATAACTTGGCTCTGTGCCACTATGTCTAACAGCATGCAAATCCAACATGTAAACATATAACTAAATACTACATCATAATATAAATGTGCCCGAATACTTAATTGAACATGCATCAAAACTGAAAGACATGTACAAAACATATACAGGCCATATACAAGGAATGGATCAGACATCTTGATCCCAAAATAACAAAATACTGAAACCACATAAATAACCATCAAAATCAGTAGACTACAGCTACTCCAAATTTGGTCTGTCGCAACCTCTCTATCCACGAGTCGTGTCCCTATCTCGTGAGGGCTCACCAGGAATCTGAACACCTAAAATGATGTCCCCAAAAGGGGTGAAATAACAAATCTCAATAAGATCCAGGTTTATAGATAATTCTCCATACCCATGGGTCCACTCCTGCATGAAAGTCTGATACAGAGTATACAAAGCATCATATAATTGATATAACTGAACAAAGCATATATACATATCTTAAGAGAGGTGTACGCACTCATTTCCAAGGGAGGACCCCAAACGAAACCAGAATATAACAGGAGTGTACACAGTCAGTCCCGAGGGAGGACCCTAAGCAGACATCAGTGCACAAACAATCAATGGCCAGAGATCATTATAGAAATCACATCAGAACAAAACATATCATATTATCAAATACCTCTATATAAGTGCATATATACAAAGCATCAAGTACAATCATACAATCCAACCATAGTCCACTAACCATGGTGGAGTACTCAAGTAGGAAAAGACTCCTTAAACATAGAGCTTACCTCTTGGGGCTTTATAATTTGCTTACTTGAAGAACAAGCTACTTATCTTGCTCCACGAGAATCCAAACGTTCACATTCCCTAGGCACACCTAGAGAAGGAATTCAAAACAAAACTCAATAAAATGATACAATGCCATATAAGTACAAGACATACATTTTATTGTTTACTTTCATTTCTACACACTTATGCCAGTCAAATGCCAATTCACAAGTCAAGACCGTAATTTCTTAAACTCACTTGTAAGATCATTTAAGGATGCTTACCTTACATAGGCTCTTAGAATGGTCCAACCAAACTTCTAAAATACCTTTTACAACACTTAGCTAATATACCCAAGTGGTTCCCATCACCCATAAGGCCTAAATTAGTGTTTTCATATTTTTCCAACTTGAGTTACTTTCATTCAAACTGAAGCTGGGAATGAACTATATATTGATAAATTCAAATATTTTAGTATGTTTTTTTTAGACCTCCTAAGCTTTCCAACAAGGTATCATATACCTTAATCAGAGTTATATAGCTCAAGTTATGATTTTTGGAAGTTCAACTCACAAAGCTGTTTTTTAGGCAGTGCAGGGGATCCCAACCTCCCTCACGGTTTTTGTCCCTGTGACAGTTCCACAAGTCAAATTTCTCTCAAATTTTAATATGTTGTAGTAGACACCTGGGACTTTAATTTGAGGTATCATAAGCTTAATTTGGGTAATTAATTAGAGAGACATGAATTTTTGAAGTTGGACCTTTGGAATCGTCCCCTAACTTCGCGATTTTTGGGCAGTCTGGACTCAATTTCACTTTGGGGACAAACCACAACACATAATCATCGCAAATTTTTTGGAAATATAGATGACATCTCAAGCTGTAAAATAAGGTATCATGAGCCTCATTTGACCAAGGGATGAGAGAGATATCACCCTCCAAAGTTAGAGGTACATATCCAAAATTTTCAGAATTTGGCAACTCATTTTTCATTTAATTCATCTTAGTTTTAATTCTAATTTATGATTCCTCTTGGACAATTTTACAAACACTTGGTGTGCATATTTTACACCCCATGGCTGAACTTAATGTGAGGGATTCATGAGAATTTTTCAAACTTTAAACACATATACATGTTTATTCCACATTCTAACTTCATTAACAACACTAATTCATCAACCAATTCAAATTTTCAAACTCTAACATTCCACAAAGGTGCTCATATTATTCAAAACTTAAATCGTGACATTTAAATCAATGGAATGAGGATCTCTTACCTCAAATCACCTATACAAGGCTTGGAGAACAAAACCCAAGCTTGGTTCCACCCAAAACCCAATTTTAGGGCAACATAAATGACATCTCAAGCTTTAAAATGAGGTATCATGAGCCTCATTTGACCAAGGGATGAGGGAGATATCACCCTCCAAAGTCAGAGGTACATATCCAAAATTTTCAGAATTTGGCAACTTATTTTTCATTTAATTCATCATAGTTTTAATTCTAATTTATGATTTCTCTTGGACAATTTTACAAACACTTGGTGTGCATACTTTTACACCCCATGGATGAACCTAATGTGAGAGATTCATGGAAATTTTTCAAACTTTAAACACATATACATGTTTATTTCACATTCTAACTTCATTAACAACACTAATTCATCAACCAATTCAAATTTTCAAACTCTAACATTCCACAAATGTGCTCATAATATTCAAAACTTAAATCATAATATTTAAACCAATGGAATGAGGATCTCTTACCTCAAATCACCTATACAAGGCTTGGAGAACAAAACCCAAGCTTGGTTCTACCCAAAAACCCAATTCTCTCTAAAGGATGAATAGTGACCGAAATTTGAGAAGGAGAGAACTCTTCACACAAGCCTTTTCAGCCCAAACAAATGGGTGGAATGGATTCACAATGATCTCTACTTAAAGTTTCATGTATAACACTTTGTGTTTTGGTGGCTAGATGAGTGAGAAAAAGAGGAGAGAGAAAGAAACCCAAAATCCCACCCCTTCACCCATGGTTGTCGCTGGTTTCTATGTGGAAGGAGATAGAAGAGTGAAAAATGGTATTGAATAGTGCTCACTTAAGTTTATAAAGTCATTTGGTCTTTTGCCGGTTTTTTCCTCTCATTTAATTTTACTTAAATTGACCCGGAACTAACTTAAAGCTACGAACTTATTTTTATTTTTCTGAACTCATTTACATAAATTTTTATTCCCTAAGGAACAATATTAACAATTCACAGTATGGTTTCTACACCATTTTTGACGAAATGCACTGTGAATTACAAAATTGTACACTGTTTACACATGAAACTGTAAAACTTGTAAACTTAACAATTTTGGTCTAAACATGACTTTTTTGGCACATATTGGACTTTCTTATTCTTATTTCCTCAATTATTTAGTTCTGGACTCTACCGGTTGCTTAAACAGCAGTACAAAATACCCGACAAAAATACTATTCACGAGATTCTCACAGAAAGTGCCAGACTATATAATTTTTCGTTCTAAACTCATATTTGACATCAGAATTGCCAAATTAGGTCTCTAAACTCATTTTACTCATTCTGAGCTCTACCGATTGATTCACAACAATGCAGAACATTCTGCAGAATGCATTGTTCATGACCTAGTCATCATTACAGTCAAAATACTCGAATTCACGCTCTGAATCTAATTATGACATTTAAATCTTTAAATTAAATCTCTAATTAAGATTTACCAGGTAGGGTCATTATAGAAGTCCATTCTTGCCAGGTAACACATCTTTAAATAAAGCGTTAAGTCAATCAAGTACACACCTTTTAAACCCTTTCTCTCTTAATTGTCACTGTGCACACACTCCACCCTTTGGTTATCTCGTTATTATAGTGCATAGTGATCTATTACTCTCTAATGTACCTCCCTTATAGGTACCGAAAGAGGGCATCTAGATCCTATAGAAATATATCAATCTATGATTGGACGTCTCGATCCATCTAGGATCGAACATTGACACCATTTGTGGGAATGTAAACTTCAATCCCCCACAATCACCATGGTGAACACAAGAAACACCAACCACCAACAATTACCACTACCGGCAATCGTCCTTGCCGTCATAATTTCGTGAAAGTAAATTATGTTGGCGTTTAATAAATTTAGCATATTCTGAAAGAACAATCTGTTTAATTACTCTTGTGTATGGACCGGTCAGAGGCGTGAAGCAGCCAAATGGAACTGTTTCGTGCCCAGTCAGCATAGCTACCAAGTCATTAGTTGATGCACAGAGGACCATCAAGTTTATCCTTGCCAAAAAGGGCAGTAGAAGCGTCAGGCAAAAGCGATGATGGAGATGTCGACTAACACGAGTAGCTTCGAAGCGTCAAGATCTGTGAGGTTATTCGCAATGAAACCTCTATTGGAGGTGATCAGAGTTATCTGTGGCGGGAGGTTCGATTCTGTTTAATCGAAAAGCCGGAGGATCGCCAGGGTGCAAGGTGAATGCCTACATCAACGCTAGCCACTGCATCCCTTGGTTAATGCCAAAATCGATGACGTGGACGCAATTCTTTCTTTTGAAAGCTTCGAAAAGAGCTTGATTTGCGGTGAAGTGTACAAACTTGAGGTAAGGGCAGGTCTCATAAAAATGGATTTGAAACATGTCGGAGAGATAATGATGAAGAGGATTCTTCGGGTAGAGCCTGTAGATGCGGCGTGCTAAAGCTTCAGCGAAGTAGGTGGCGACTTTTCTCATAGCACCAACTTGCGACACCTTCTGAACCAGATGTTCTTACAAGAAAAAATCTTATTAGTGACAAAATTTTATAAAATTTCGTTACAAATTCCTACGTCGCAAGTAAATTTCGTCACAAATTCCTGCGTCACTTTGTGACGAAATTTGATTATTTGTGTCGAAAATTGTCATTTGTGACAAAATTTATGACAAAAATTTTCATCACAAATAAATTTTTTCCTTGTAGGTTAGATATCATTGTGCACACACTCCACCCTTTGACTATGTCGTTATTATAGTGCACAGTAATCCGTTATTCTTCAAAGTACCTCTCCTATAGGTACATAAGAGAGGGCATCTAGATCCTACAAAAACATAGAATTTATGATTGAACATCTCGGTCCATCTAGAATCGAACATGATCCACTCTTTTTCATGTGTGATGGCAGAAAAAAATGTACAATTAAAATAAAAAATTATTCCCAAAAAATAACTGTTTTTTGAGATGGCATTGTATTCTTTAATAGCCATTAAGTAATTAGCTTTCAGTGTTTAGCGATAATTTGTTATAAGATGTCTCATAAACGAAGTTTTTTATTTTACTGTATTATCTTAGAAAATATATTAATGCTAAACTTTACATAAAAATAAAATCGATGAAGAGAACTCTCACAAAATTAAATAAACTAAATTTTGAACATGAACAATAAAAAAATTTATTTATTAACCTTATGGCTATGGCAGCTACATGATCAATTGAATTGATTTCTAAAAATATCAATACAATAAATTTTAAGGATGTTGTTTCAAGTGTGGTAAATTATCTCAGCTCGTAAATTTACAACGCGAAATTTTCAAAAGAAACTTCCTTTGACAACGAAAGTTTAGGTTATGGTAAAGCTATTTCAGCAATGTGTCAAGCTTGTTTATTACTTTCATTTTTTTGACATTTTGTTAGGTAATATTGTTAATGCAGTTGGTTGTTGTCACTGCCCATGAATAAAATCAGTATTTATAATACTATAGCAGACTTATTGGTTCACATTGGGTATCATTGATGATACCACAAACAAAAAAATAAATATGAAAATATTAGAGAATAATATAAATTATTAAAAGGGTCTTTATTCAACATCGATCTTAAGATTTTGAGATGAAGTAATTTTTTACATGGTATCTGAGCTTCAGTGACTATAAGGTTACGAGTTCGATCCTCACCGCTCTCCATTTATGGAATTAAATAAGCATATGCTAAAATCAAAAAAGAAAAATTGGGCCTATGTAATATCTATGTTTCAAGCCCAAAGGACTTTTACATAAGGGGGTGTGTTAGAGAATAATATAAATCATTAAAAAGACCATCATTCAACACCTTAAGATTTTGAGTTGGAATGGTTTTTACATGATATCAGAGCCTTAAGGTGTTGGGTAAGAGTCATTTTAATGATTTATATTATTCGCTAACACATCCCTTCATGCAAGAGCCCTTTGGACTTGAAGCGTGAATATTGTATAGATCCAATTTTTTTGGTTTTAGCCAATGTTATTAAAACTGGTCCGGTCATTGACCCGGTCGAGGTATTGGGTCACTGGTTCAACCGCATGACTCGGTAATTATATGTAATTTTATAATTTATATTAAATAGTTATAAACATACTCAAATATCTAAAAAAATGATAAAAATTTCAAATATTTTAATATAAAAAATAATAAATCAGAAATTATTATCCAATAAAGGATCAAACAAAAATATAATGATCGTGATACGGGACTTTAGGTTCAGAAAATTACTTTTTCAAAAAATAAATAATTTGAATTTTATTTTATTTTTTTAGAATCAGACCGAGTCACCGGTTAACCGACCGGGTCACCGATTATCATGAAAACCAGCCGGGTCGGACCAGGTCACACCGGTTCTGATGCATGGCCGGTCCGTTGCTTCAATCGGACTGATTATATGACTGATTTACCAGTTCCCGGATCGACCCAGCCGGGTCGGTTCAGATTTAATAACACAGGTTTTACCTTGTGCTTATTTAATTCCACAAGTGGAGGGCAGTAAGGATCGAACTCGTGATCTTGCGATCACTTAAGCTCTGATATCATGTAAAGAACTACTTTAATCCAAAACCTTAAAGTGTTACGTAAGAGCCTTTTAAATAATTTATATTATTCTCTTACAGAAAGCGTTTCCGTAATCAAAAAATTTGTGACATATAAATAAAAAATTATCACATTATTTGATTAGTTGTCATTAATTTTCCTTTTTTCTATCAACTGATGCACTGGAGAAACATCATTTGGTATTTGAATCAAAAAATTTATATAACAATAATAGTCAAATTTGAACATATAATTTCATGCAACAACCATCACTTACAACAAAAAACCTATACAAGAGGTTGATAGTGTTTTTATTTATGTAAAGGATTTTATAAAAGTTACGTCGTAGGAAGGTGGTTTTGTCATGTTATAGATAATTCATTTTTCTGTAAATATAACGTTATATATACTAGGGAAAAATGTTTCTGCAGTTAATGCAGATAAGTTATCTGCATTTATTTCCAAAACAACGTCGTTTTGGTATTGAAATCTTAAAAAATTATGAATATAAAGACTATTATAACCCTGAAATAAATTAAAATTACCAAAACACCATGATTTCCGCCCCAAAATGACGTCGTATTGGCTTACTGCAGATAAGTTATTTGCAGTAACTGCAGAAAAAATGAACTCATATATATATATATATATGGTAAAATTATTTCCGCAGCCGCTTTACGTACAGCAACGACATGTGTATAGTTATGATTCCCCACATTTAATGCTTTCATCTTTTGTATGGTTATGATTCCCGCCATTTAATGCTTTCAAGTATATATATATATGGCAAGTATTTGATTGTTGCACGTACAGCAGCTGCAGAAATGTAAACCCCTATATATATATATATATATATATATATATATATATATATATATATATATATATAAGATAAATATTTTTACAGGCACTTTAGATAAGGTTATCTACAGCTATCCCAAAAATTACGTCATTTTGATTATTAAAAGACGTCGTTTTTTTTTATCATATATATTTTACTGAAACACCATTCATTACTTCACCTAAAATTACAGAAATACCCTTCATTAATCAAAATGACGTAGTTTTTGAGGTAGCTGTAGATAACCTTATCTAAAGTGACTGTAGAAATATTTTTTCATATATATATATATATATGGAAAAAGTGTTTGTCCTTTTAAATGACACAACTTATATTCTTTCACTCTCACAAAGAAGTGGGACGCACACCTTTATATTTTTTTGTCCACTCTCTCTCCTCCTTTATCTGTCTCTTTCTCTCACTTAAAATGACATAACTTTACATCCTTTAAAATGATACACATTTATATATATATATATATATATATATATATATATATATATATATATATATATTTGGGCCTTTAATTGTGATTGCAAAAGTTTGGAATGTGCGTGCTCATATGCACGGACACGCAAGTTTAAAATTTGCGTGTCAGACACGTGTCCGACACGGACACGCGTCCGACACGCAGTCAACATTTGGGGACACACGGTCAACTCTCCGACACGTTTTGACACGAGGTCAATATTTGGGGACACGCTCGGACACGTTTTTTTTTTAATCTTATTTTTATTTTGTTAACTAAATATAAAAGAAATAATTTATAAATTAATTTTTTTCTATTATGAAATTTGACATTAAAAATTAACAAAATACGAAAAATTATTAATATTTATGTTATGAAATTTAAATATTTGATTGGTTATATGACTTATTATGGACTCTTATATGTTTAAATATAAATTATATTATATATATTACAAATTTTATTTAATATCAAAATGTGTTCCAACGTGTCGAAATATGACATTTTTTAGAATTATCGTGTCGGCGTGTCGTGCCGTGTCGTGTCGTGTCCGTGCATCATAGTTTGTATGTGCAGAGTAGGATACACCATTTTTTTTTTTAAAAAGTAAACAATTTTTTTTAGTAAGCTCCAGGGTGGAATATTTTTGCAACAATCGTAAATATATATATATATATATATGGGAATTGTTTTTGTTATGTAACATAACCTAAAATAAATTTCCTACTCTCACAAAAGGAGGAGAGAGGAGAGAGAATAGAAAAAAGAGAAAAAATTTAAAGTTGGTCCCATATAAATTTGTGTGTGTAGGAAGATGATTTTAGGTTATGTTACATGATAAAAACAATTCCCTATATATATATATATATGGGTTTTGTATATATAATTTAACATGACCACAACAACTTTCCTACACACACAACATTTTGTGGGACCCACAATTTTTGAAACCAAAAAAAAAAAAAAAAAACTCTGGCACGCAAAACGAATCTCTATAACATAACACAATCACTTTTCCTACAACATAACTCTTATTAAACCCTATATATATATATATATATATATATATATATATATATATATATATATATATATATATATAAGTTATCTTAGCAACACTATAACCACATAATTTTGAAATTTGGAAAGAAAAATAAGTTATTTTAGCAAAATTTATAATATAAGAGGAAAATAAAATTTTCAAAATACTTTTTTTTTCTAAATCCCAAAATGATATTATTTTGAAATTGTTGAGATAACTATATTTCCTATTACAGCAGAAATATTTTTCATATATATATATATATATATATATATATATATATATATATATATAATCAATTTATACCGGTGTAAGAATAACAACTCTTATATTAAATCTTAACTGTTGATTTTTGTATATCTAACGGTTATAATTTATTTAGTCAGACTCATTAATTAATTATTAATTTTTAATAAATTATAATCGTTAAATGGATGAATATCAACCATTAAGATTTGGTGTAAAACTTGTTTTTCTTACACCAGTGTAAATTGATCATATCCCATATAGATATATATGAAGAGGTTTTTTTTTTTACAAATTACACTAA